GCATATATATATATAAAGCACAACAACAGGGCATTGCACTGCCATCCAATCTACTAGCCACTCCTTGGTATAAAGGTGAGCAGTGTCCTCCAATGTAATTTAATGCCTTTGCAAACTTGTTGGAGGAGCTATTAGTTGGTTTTGACTCACAAAAACAACAGTGATTGTGTAGTGGTATTTTATTACGGCCTTTTATCGATGATCATTTCATTGCTTATTTGTCCTTTGAATGTCTTTGTAAAAGTGTTTAGAATGTGCAGTGATGTTGTTATTTTCTTTTTTGTCTGATCAGTCAGGCTAAAAGTTTATAAATTTTAATTCATTGTCTCAGAGAACCACTTCTTGGTTTTATTGAATTTCATTATTGTCATTTTATTTTCTCACTTATATTTTTTCTGTTTCATTGATTTCCACTCTGATTTTTATTATTTCTTATATCCAGCTTACTGTGGGCTTCATTTGTTTTCTTTCTAGTTTATGGTTTCTTAAGGTATAAACTGATATGATTGATGTATAATCTTTTCATATATATATATGGTATAGCATTTTCTAAGTAATGCTTATAAAGCTCTGGTGTCCTATTAAATTGTACCACAAACCCAAAGGGAAGTGGTTCAAATCCACCATCTGTTCTGAGGGATAACAATGGGCTGTCTCTCAAAACCTGTTGGAGGGTCACCTTTGACTTGATGGCACATAATAACAGCTGTATTGATTTAGTGCATGTTACTGGAACTTCTGCTAGACTGCTTCTTATTTTCATAGATTGTAAGTAAGATTGATACAGTAACTGGGGCAGTGAGGATTGGTGTGTTGAATCAATGAGACTGGCTCAGGACAGGGCAGGCATCAGAGCTGCTGTACAGACAGTTGCTATGGGTCGTAGGCAACTTGATGGCATATAACAGCAACAAGTAGAATATTGGGACATTGAAATGTAGACTATTGATTTATGATGGAATGTAGAATTTAATTTCTATATGTTAGAGTCATGATCTGGTGGTGCTGAACGCTTTGTTGAGGTTAAATAAAAATAGCATTTGAGTCTTGATATTGTGACTTATGCTGTACCGACATTTCTTATATTCTTAATTCATGCTGTGGAAGTAGAAGAAGTGCCGAGGATGAGCCCGTCCACATCCTGAGTGTTGATGAGAAGAACAGGCTGGGAGCCAAGATTATCAAGGCAGAGATCATGGGGAATCTGGTAAGATGCTTGTAAGTCGCTCTCTTGGCAAGTAATAATTACTAGTTAATATCTCACAAGTAGTTATTGAAGTTCAGCCTTGTGGTGGCAGCACACTTTGAAAATAGCTGCTGTGTTTGACTCCTTAAAGAAATTCTTAAATATTTCTAGAAACAGTACTGTAAGTTCACATGTAAATAAATTACCTACCTTTTTTTATCCAATTTAAGAAATTTCAGACCTCAAGAGAACTACCTGCTTTTTATTTCTTGTTTTTCTTTGCTACTTGCTTTCTTGGTGTACTTATTGAGGAAGATAATATTGTACCATCTTCCTTCCCTTTCTTAGTCATCTGTAATAAGAACATTTATTGTTCTCATCAATTTCTTTGTTAGAGGCCTAAGAAAAGAGCTCTTTGAAAGAATGGTTAATTCATTGACAGAGATTTTTAAACTAATACATTGTGCTTGAAATTGTGTTAGATTTTTTTTATATGTGTTAATTCAATCTTATAGCAGTGTTAACTATTTTAAGACTTATTTTACCTCAGAATTGCATAAAAATAGACATAATTTGGTAAGAGCTACTCTGTTTACTTAATCTGATTCTCAAATATCTTTATTAAGTAAATATGAAGTTGGTAAGTATATTGAGGACCTTTCACATGCTTGATGTTGAGTGGACATTGTATTACTTGTTAAAATTGCACATGACAGAAGAGCAAAGACAGAACTTTCTGTGTCATGACGGGTTCACTTGTGGTTGTGTTGTACCTTACATATGTAATTTTTAAGTAGTCTTCTGTCTTATTGACATATCAACATATTATTTTTTAATTGAACAAATAATTTTTTTTTACCAATTTGTTGTTACTTTCTGTTGAGTCAGAACTGACTCACAGCTTACTCTTCAGTGGGTTTTCAGAGGTGGTAAATCTCATGAGAGGAGAGTGCTTATTTTACTCTCATGGAGCAACTGATGGATTTGAACATGCCTGACTTTGGCTTGGCAGCTCAACTTCTCACCACTAAGCCACCAGAGCTTTTTTACCAGCTTATATATTTAATGTAAGGACATCTAATATATACCTCTCTCTGAATTTGGCTCTTAGTAACACTGAGCTTCAACTCCACCCAGAGATTAGTAAAAGAGAAACCTATAGCAAGAGTGACAACAACAACAAAGTAAAGAGTCCAGAGAAATTAACTAAAACTACAAAAGAAAATGGTATTAATGCAGATGACACAACCCTCCTTGCTGAAACTGAGGAGGACCTGAAGTACTATTGTTGCAGAAGGTCAAGGACTACAGCCTTCAATATGGACTAAAGCTCAATATCAAGAACAGAAAGATTCTCACCCCTGGGCTGATTGGCAGCATCATGATGGATGATAAAGAGATTGAGATTGTAAATAGCTTTAGTTTGCTTGGCTCCACAATCAGCACTCTTGGTACCAGCAGCCAGGAAATTAAAAGACATATTGCATTGGGAAAGTCAGCTGTCAGGGACCTCTCCAAAGTACTGAAGAACAGTGATAACAGTCTGGAGACAAAGGTGCACCTGATACAGGCCATAGTCTTTACAATCACTTGTTATGCATCAGAGAGCTGAACAATGATAGGGATGATAGAAGGAGAATTGATGCCTTTGAGCTGTGGTGCTGGAGAAGAGTATTGAATATACTATGGATTGCTAAGAGAACAAGCAGGTTCGTCCAGGAAAGGATTAAACCAGGCTGCTCCTTGTAGGCAAGGATTCTGAGGCTTTGTCTGACATACTTTGGACATGTTGCAAGGAGGGACCAGTCCTTGGAGAGGGACATCATGCTTGCGAGGGTGGAGGGACAGCTCAGGAGAGGAAGACCCTCTATGAGGTGGATTGATTCAGTGACTGAGGTAATGGTGGGTGTGTTGGAGACAGTGAGATTGGCACAGGATAGACAGGATTTAGGGCTGTTGTATATAGGGTCATTAGAGTTGCAGGTGACTAGACAGCAAATAACAATGAAAGAGAAGTCAAGAAGGAGGTTAGTTTATGCCAATAGAATGAACTGGTTCTTTGTTCATGGAAAACTACCATTAAGAATGCTTCCCTTTACTTATCATGTAAATTTGCTTACTTAATATTTTACTTTGTGATCTTTGCTTTATTTGTTAATTGTCTTAAATAATTCCTATAGACTTTCTGGAATAAAAATAAAATGTAGTGAAACTTTTTTTTTTGTATTATCAATAATAAGGAAATTAAGGTTTTAAATCTTGTCATAGCTGTCTTGTTACAAATAATCATAGTTTTAAATATTGAAAATATATACTATTTAAGTAATTATAAATGTGCCATCCTTCCTCTTCCTAAATCCTTCAAAATTATGTCTAACACAGTGGTATATGATTCAAATTCACCAGCTGCTCTGAGAGAGAGAGGTGGACAGTCTTCTCCCATATGGTTTACTGCCTCTGAAAACTCACTGGAGGGTCAGTTCTGACTCAATAGCACACCACAAAATAAATGTCCATGAAATATTTTCACTTCAGAACATAAGCAAATATCAGAGTTGTTGGAGAAGCGTTTAAATGAAATGATTGATTAAAAAGCAGTATACTATGTTGTCACTTGATAATTGAAGAGAGGTGGTGGGTGTCTACAATGCTGTTTTCTTTTGAGATGTAGCGTTGAAATATTCTAGAAAGAATTTTAAAAATATGTATGTAAGTGCTTATTTTACTTACTTTTGTTTTTGAAGGAATTAGCTGAACAACTTAAAGCCCAGCTTGAAAAGGCAAATAAATTCCAAGAAAATACAGCACAGATGTCAGCCAAAAAATCTGTAGTAGAGGTAGGAATAAAAATTTGTTTACATATGTGTAACTACTGCTACAAATTAGTATTTTAATGTGAAACACATCATTTATCTGTGTGAGCATATATTTGTTTCTTTATTAAAATCTATTTTTATATGTATTATCTTACATTGTTTCTTGGATATTCAAAGTGAAAAAAAGGAAGGAGGGAGGGATTGGTTAGAGAGAAGTAGGAAAAAGTGAATTAGCCTTGGGGAAAAAAGAGTAGAAGTAAATTGATTTGACTTGGGAGTATGATAATTCTGTCCCAGGTAGTCTTGTTGTTGTTTGTATTGTCGAGTGAGAGCTGTCCCAAGCTGACCCTCCAGTAGATTTTTCAGCAGTTTAAATCGCCCAGGAGGAGATTGCTTGTCTTCTGCAGAGCAGCTGGTGGGTTAGAACTGTGGGCCTTTGGGAAGGCATTCCTTTTGGGAAGAACTCCTTACCACCTGACCGACAGATTTCCTTTTCTGAGACACAAATTTATTAAATCTATGTATCAAGTATTTGTGGACTACCCACTGTATGCATGACACAATGTAGAGTATGGTTTGAGCTCTGCCCTCAAAAGGTAAATAATAATTAAATGGACAAATAGTTAACCTCCAGTAAATTATCTAAAATATTGGTGAGAGAGTATTGATTGTGACCAACTCCTTTGTATCCTTTTTTGATCATGAGATGGATATTATCCCATGCTTTGAAAGTAGAATGTATATATTTATACCGAGCTTGTAAAGACTTAGAGGGCTAGCATTTGAAGGTCTTGTGTACTTGCTAATATGCTTAGAGTTTATTCCAGTCCAGTACTTCTAAGTCTGTAGTGTAGTTTGGTTTTTTCACTATATATATATTTATACTTCCAGTATAAATATAAATAGCAGGCTATTAGTTTTGTATAATCCAAAAAGAAAAGGAATTACTTAAAAATGAAATAATAATTTAATAATTAAAAAATAGGAATAAAATATTTAAGATACAAGTCCCAAATTTTTCTGTACGTTCCCTCAGTAAAAATTTAATCTATGAGATTGCCGTAGAGGTTTTTATAAGCATTCATATTCTGTACTTATCTCATTGTGGACTAGCAATAAATGTGTTGGGGCTAATAATAACAATTCTGGGATCAACACTGGTCTGTGAACTTTAGTGGCTTTGATCTCATCATTTGTGATCCCTGTAATTTTTAAAGCAAAGAATGTCATCATTGTATTTGTGCTAAATAGAATTACTTTATTGGTAGGACAAGTGATAATTAGATTTCACAGTAGAAAGAAAGAAAATATGGAATCCTGAAATCATTGATGTTTGAGGAGTAGCTAGAAAGGTAACAGAAAGTGGAATGGACTTTCTTTATACGATGTCAGTAGTTTTCCCACTAGACTTTACAGAAGCTCTGGTAGCCTATTCTGTAGTGTGTTATGCTCTTAACCAGAGGGCTGCATACATGACCCACCATCCGCTCTAAGGGAGAAAAAGGGACAGTCTCCTACTATTAAGATCTACAGCCTTGGAAACCTGATGGGAGGTCACTGTGAGTTAGAATAGACTCGATGGTGATGAAGTGAGTTGACTAAACCATGAGTTTCTTGAAGGTTGTTATTGTTATGTGTGGTCAAATCACAGCTGACTCATAGTTGACCCTCTAGTGGGGTTTTCAGAGCCTGAAAAGGTTTTAAATCTATTTATTTA